GTGTATGTTTCCGTGTGTGTGTCAGTGTATATGTGTGCGTTTGTGTGGGAGAGCAGGAGAAAGAGAGTACAGTATGTGCTTTCCGTACATAATAAAACATAATTTAGTTTAAAAACAGAGAAATCATTTGTCATTTTTTATCATATTATTTACTATATGTATTTGCTTGACCAGTTTTGCTGTGGGTTTTGGTTATTTTGCTGTTTTAGGCTGTAAGGACCATTGAAATAACTGAAATCAGTTGGCAAAGTGATTTGGACATGAATTGCGGTCGAGACCTACCTGGAACTACATTAGCCGTGCGTTTCCCTGAAAATAATTGCACACCTTAGAACGTTCATCAACCAATCAGATTCAAGCATTCAACGGCCCCTTAATATAATAATATAATAATTCACCAAGCAGGTCTGCATTTTAAACATTAGGATATTAGGGTGTTTAAATGAGTTAATCAAAGATTTAAAAAAAGTTGCTGGAATTACCAAGGTTTGTGAATATAACAATGTCTTGACTGTAAAATGAAGGTTTGTAAGTGCCTTAAACCGTAGTCTATCCACATTTTTCCCAACGTGCTTTCTGCATTTTAAATGATGGGATCCTTATGACAGACAATCCTTATCCGTCAGTTTGACATGGATGTGTTACAATGTCATTTTCTCCCCTTATACCTTCTAATCCATATTAGGAGTGGTTACTGGAGGTAAAGTAGGTACAGTGGGTACGGAAAGTATTCAGACCCCCTTAAAATTTTCACTCTTAACAATATTGCAGCCATTTGCTAAAATCATTCAAGTTAAGTTTTTTTCCTCATTAATGTACACACAGCACCCCATATTGACAGAACAAAACACAATTGTTGACATTTTTGCAGATTTATTAAAAAAGAAAAACTGAAATATCACATGGTCCTAAGTATTCAGACCCTTTGCTGTGACACGCATATATTTAACTCAGGTGCAGTCCATTTCTTCTGATCATCCTTGAGATGGTTCTACACCTTCATTTGAGTCCAGCTGTGTTTGATTATACTGATTGGACTTGATTAGGAAAGCCACACACCTGTCTATATAAGACCTTACAGCTCACAGTGCATGTCAGAGCAAATGAGAATCATGAGGTCAAAGGAACTGCCTGAAGAGCTCAGAGACAGAATTGTGTTAAGGCACAGATCTGGCCAAGGTTACAAAAAAACTTCTGCTGCACTTAAGGTTCCTAAGAGCACAATGGCCTCCATAATCCTTAAATGGAAGACGTTTGGGACGACCAGAACCCTTCCTAGAGCTGGCCATCCGGCCAAACTGAGCTATCGGGGGAGAAGAGCCTTGGTGAGAGAGGTAAAGAAGAACCCAAAGATCACTGTGGCTGAGCTCCAGAGATGCAGTCGGGAGATGAGAGAAAGTTGTAGAAAGTCAACCATCACTGCAGCCCTCCACCAGTCGGGGCTTTATGGCAGAGTGGCCAGACGGAAGCCTCTCCTCAGTGCAAGACACATGAAAGCCCGCATGGAGTATGCTAAAAAACACCTGAAGGACTCCAAGATGGTGAGAAATAAGATTCTCTGGTCTGATGAGAACTTTTTGGCCTTAATTCTAAGCGGTATGTGTGGAGAAAACCAGGCACTGCTCATCACCTGTCCAATACAGTCCCAACAGTGAAGCATGGTGGTGGCAGCATCATGCTGTGGGGGTGTTTTTCAGCTGCAGGGACAGGACAACTGGTTACAATCGAGGGAAAGATGAATGCGGCCAAGCACAGGGATATCCTGGACGAAAACCTTCTCCAGAGTGCTCAGGACCTCAGACTGGGCCAAAGGTTTACCTTCCAACAAGACAATGACCCTAAGCACACAACTAAAATAACGAAGGAGTGGCTTCACAACAACTCTGTGACTGTTCTTGAATGGCCCAGCCACAGCCCTGACTTAAACCCAATTGAGCATCTCTGGAGAGACCTAAAAATGGCTGTCCACCAACGTTTACCATCCAACCTGACAGAACTGGAGAGGATCTGCAAGGAGGAATGGCAGAGGATCCCCAAATCCAGGTGTGAAAAACTTGTTGCATCTTTCCCAAAAAGACTCATGGCTGTATTAGATCAAAAGTGTGCTTCTACTAAATACCGAGCAAAGGGTCTGAATACTTAGGACCATGTGATATTTCAGTTTTTTTTTTTTTATAAATCTGCAAAAATGTCAACAATGCTGTGTTTTTCTGTCAATATGGGGTGCTGTGTGTACATTAATGAGGAAAAAAAATGAACTTAAATGATTTTAGCAAATGGCTGCAATATAACAAAGAGTGAAAAATTTAAGGGGGTCTGAATACTTTCCGTACCCACTGTAAATATACGTTCATAGAGCACACATTTTACTGACTGTTTAATGGAAGCTACTCAGATGACTCACACAAAGCTTCATGGGGTGTAGGAAAAAGGCGGATTTAAGGTGACTCTACTTTACTTTGCAGGCTTAGTCATGGAAGTAACCAACCTAATGAACCAATTGCTTTTGCAAACTGATTCAGTGTTTTGAAGCACTCCAAACACCACACATCGATTATGCCCGCTTGTCAAAATTTTGTAAATATAACAAAAACTCATTGCAAATGTTTTATTGAAAGTATATATTAAATGCAAACAAATAATCATACAGTATACCATTAAATGTGAAGCTTCTGTGTAATATGTGTTCTTTAAATTATTTTCAGGGCTTTTTTATGGAAGGCTTGTCTAAACAAGCTAATAAGGCAGGGTAGGTGAATTGGTTCAAAACAATTTTTGTGTTATGCTGGTTGAAAGTTTCTTCACATCCCAATAGTAATCACTAGGTTAAGTAGTCTAAATGTATTTATATGTATTTATATTATCTGTGGAAGGCGTAGGACAATAAAGTGTTTGTCCAATCATATTCCTCGGTCAGAGGACTACGATAGGCTGTTCTTCCTGCCTGTCAACATATGTAATTGCATGCCTTATGTATATGTATCTGCTATTCTTCCTTATATAATATATAATATTGTTTGAATATGGATATTGAATATGATCCTTATATAGTGCTGTAATTTGCACAGTTAGTGGCAAATATAATCAATTTCATGGTTATTTGTAAGTAGCAACTTTTTGTTGCAATGGGGAAAGATACAGTATATGAGCAATATCTCGTAGCCATGTGATATTGTTCAATATCTGCATAATCTCTCAATAAGCGGCCTCATGCCTACGGTCGCATCAAAGCCATATTGATATAGAGCGATATCACATGGCAACGAGTATGAAATTGTATTTATACAACAGTTTGATGGCACAAGTAAGTAAAAAAAAAACAAAAAAAAACAGTGTCTTAAATAACCCTTTTGTATGCAGAACTACTTATTTGCGCCATTGATTCAATAAATCATTCATTTGAATGTCCGTTTAGGAAAGTCATATCTTTGTCATAACATCTTTTCAGCTTTTAAGGGGATTTCCTATGATAACACTGTTTATGTCTTACAAGGTGTTGCTGAAAGTAAAAATAATGTTCTTATTTACAACCTTGTTTTAGTCCCTTTCAATATAAAATTATTTGCTCTAAGCAATTCAATCAAATGTACATAGGCATCATCTTCAGGGATGTAAAATACTTGAGTAAGTTTACTTGATTACTGTACTTAAATATTATTTTGGGGGATTTGTACTTTATTCAAGTACAGTTTAAACTGACTACTTGTACTTGATTACATTTCTGAAGAAAAAAAAACAACTTTTTACCCCTTACCATTTTATTTAAACTTGAAAAGTACTCATTAAATATTTGTGTATATATATATATTATTTTTTTTATCTTCTGCATATTATATATGGTAAATGGAAGCGTGCACTTGATGTGTAAGATTGTCTCGGTTACGTATGGTAACCCTCGTTCCCTGAAGGAGGGAACGGAGACGTCACGTCGGATGACCGACAAATTGGGATCTCGCTTAGAGAGACCAATCTACTTCGAGTGTAAACTAAATGAGCCAATGCAAAAGCCGGTGACCCGGCCCCTCAGCGGTGGTACAGGAGCTGTGGCGACGGGACGGGACGAATTGGGATCCCTAACAAAGGGCCACAGGTACTGCCCCTTCCAGTTTCCCGTGGAAGCCACCTGCGCCCCTACTTCACCTGCGCCACAAGCCTGCGCCCAGGGGGATG